CCGATGAAGAAGGCATAAAGCATTCTGTTAACCATGGCTGAAATTTTTAACCTAAACCGTACTAATTTGATAATTTTCAAATTTAATGGAAACTGGGCCATAAAAGAAATGAAACAGTTGTGTTCAATGTGAGCGTGCATTTTTCCAGACCAAATTAAAAGGAAAATTCCGTTTAGGTCGTTAAAAGTCAAAACCCTATCCGTATTCATCCGCTCTGTAAGAAGCGGAAACACTCGACGGTGTTACGAGGATAGCAATAAATGTATGAAAAGTGATGCAGTAACAAAAGCATTAAAATTTTTTGGAAAATCACCTTTTTGCAAAATCCTTGCTAGAGCTGAGTTCTGAATGAAGCACCTGGTAGAGATAGTCGTACTGGTGAAAGATCCTGGTAGGAAATAGACGTTTCGATGTAAACATGAATGATTTATTCACTGATAATCTGTTTTATAAATACTGCAGAGGATCGAAGAACATGAGAGTGAAGGTCAGTATTAAGTCTGATGATGGGAAATTTTTGGAAATCTAGGGCCGAGGAGAAAAAGAGGGAAAATAATCGGTCAATGCACGGGCTACCGGCGCAAAGATGCTTTTTGCATAGCTCCCCGCAGATTTTTGTCACTGACGGCACTGGTTTTTCCGGCAGATGCTTTTAGCTAAAAGAATTTCGGACTGGCCGCCAGGACTGTCGGGAAACATCCCTTCAAAATCCCAGTCTTCTAGCTTCTCACTTTCCCGAGTTAGCAACTTACCCAGAAGAGTTTTTGCATTGCGTGGCTGCAAAAAACGCATAAAAAACATCGAAGAGCTAATCTGATAGAAGAAATGGCACGTACCACTAGTGATTCCACTTCCCCAGATTTTTTAATGGTTCCTATGAATAAGCTTTCACGCAATACAAATCGAAATATGGTAGACCGAAATCTATTTACGGTAAATTCCCTATAATCCGTTTTGTAGCTTTCCTAGGTATACATCTGCTAAAAACTGGCATTACATAGTGTATTCTTCAGGGGGCAATTTACCACTTGCTCTGACCAATACTGTGATACCCAGTGATCAGCTTGCTGACGATCCCAATTTCTCCTTGCTTTCTACAGTCATTACCAATTCGACAGTTATACCGATAAAAGCATTCTGCAAGACTTTAACCGCTTCAAAAAATCGCTATCTGCAATGTTGAACACCCAC